GAAAGAGAATCAATATTCAGTATCTGTATAAAGTCTAACCTAGTCGGACAAGCATTCTTTAAAGAAGTAGCAACATGTTCTCAGGACTCATCTTGCTTTAACCTCACCTCAGTCTTCCTGTTTGTAACACGAACCGTCATTGACATAGTTCCCGACAAAGTGGTTTTTCTTTTGCATTCCTGACCTAAGCCATCAAGCAAGTCATTGTCCTCATTTTGTCTAATCTCAGAGCTTAACAAACAGCATCCAAAGTCATTGTGCGGTAACACTGGAGCAAATTATTGGCTCTTCCTATTTTTTTTTTAAATTTTGCCAGAGGGCACATTCACTTGCTGGAGAGAAAAAGAGAGAGAGATGCCCCACGGCATGGTCACACTGCAGTCCCTTTCCTGCACGTCTCCCCTTTTCAGGATTTTAGACACGTGTGCCTGGCGTTTTTTCAAGCTGCTGAGTCTGAGATTCAATCTACCTCGTCAGCCATGTGGGATCCAGCCGCCCTAACCACCACACCACCGGCTGGCCTACTCAGAATGTCTGGCTGTGTCTAGGAGACTTTTTTGGAGTGAGGACTGGGGAAGCGTGTTGACTTATAGGGCCTCCTTCAGCCACTTGCTTGCTGTCCCTCCCCCTTCAGCGTCACCGTCCCCGGCTACCCTCTGTGAAACACCTCGACCCCTTTACTTTCAAATGCTCTGTCCACAAATAGCAGCCACTTCCGTCCGACACAGGGAGGACTTCCGTTTTCTCCTGAGATGGCCTTTTGCTTATTTGGTGGACCTTAGACTCTCAGCAGTGTCACCGCTTGTCACCAAACTTTGTTCTTAAAATAATGTGGACACTTCTGTGAAAGTGAGAAGGGCTGGCCTGACTCCCGTGTGCTCACCCACAATGCATCACTTAATCTCAACCTGCACCCAGGAACAGCTGTGAGGTTCCAGGAGCCCAAAGCTGCTAAGCCGGGTTGTTCAGACTCGGCAATTGTCCACAGTACAGGCCGGAGTTAAGTGAGGTCGAAAGCATTCACTTACTATCTCATCACTCAGGAATGGAAAGGAAAACCTGCTCCGTGTTTAACTTCATACCGTGTCGGTGTGACCATCTGTTCATCCCGCCGGCTCGCGATCATCCGGTGAGAGAACGCAGGACTAGGACCCATTATCGAAATGCACAGATCATCCTCATGTCAGCCAGTGGCTGCAGCCTCCCTGATACGTCATCTACCTAAGGAGTAATACTGGGTTGTAGGAAAAGCCAGGATGCATTTTTCTGTTTTTCTTTGCAAAAATGCATCATGACTTTTCCAACAACCCAGTAGGACATAGGAGTTCCATTTCCTCTCAGTCCTTCTCCTCTGATGATCCCCACGAGCAGTGACCTGGCGAGGAGGAGGGAAGCACCGGGGATCTGCAGTGTGGCCGGCCTGTCCCTGACGTGTTGATGACTGCGTTCTCTCACCAGACCTCGTGACCCCACATAGTTTCTGTACTCGTGTACGCAGTCTTCAGCTGGGAGTATTCGCTGTGTTTTCTCCAGATGCTGTGACCGAGTGGGTGGCATTCTATAATGCTGTGTGATTTTCCTGTATAGGGTGAACCAGGGCTTCCCGGGCTTCCTGGACTTCCAGGGATAAAGGTAAATACTGCTTTGACGGTCTTGGCTTCACAGAACTGTAATGACGAGAGTCCCCTAAAACAGAGGAATATAGGGGGACCCTAAAAATATGATGCTGTTCTTTAAATGCTTCCCAACCATCTGAACGAACTATATATTTGGGGGGGGAGGGGCTTCTTTGCTGTAGGGCGCATGCACTCACCAGAAAGACAGAGACAGAAAGTGAGAAATCACCCCCTGAGGGGGTTGGCCATGCCATAATCCCTTCTCCTTCATTCTCCTCTCAGAATCTTGGGCACGCACGCACACATGCCCAGTGTGAGTTTAAGCCACCAGGTCTGGGACTCGAACCACAGTCCACTACATGGGAGTCCAGCGACATAGCCATTATACCATCTGCTGGTCCCCCAACTACATTTTTAAATTAACAATTAAGAGCAGCTGTTGTGAGAGTTTCCCATTGCCGAGTGGACTGCGTCACTGTCATCTGCTCAGCTCCTTAAAGTCATGTGAATGCCACTTCACAGGGTCACAGGAGCTCTTTGAAGTCTAGAATGGCTCTTTACCTTCTCGTTTTAATTTCATCCTGAAGGTCCTATCAGATTTTGCCCAGAATCAAAGCCTCTCCAGCACCGTCAGTCTAACATCTAAGCAGCTGTTTTCATGATTCATCCTTCTCAATAATCCCTCTAAAATGTTGCACTTCCACTTCCTCTCAGAAATTCTCATTCCAAATCACGTTACTAAAATCGTTTGACCCAACACATGTGTTGTCCCCATAAACTTTCTAAATATCTTTTAATATAATTGCTTAAAACTTACTTTGGAAATATTATTTTAAACCACTTGAAAATGTTAAAAACATTTCTTAAAATTATTTAAGATTTTCTACGTGGCAGCTGACAGGCCTCGAGGTTCTAGTGTCTTAGCTGTATTGTAGTCTGTTAAATCTAGCTTCTTATTTATATATATATATATATATACACACACACACACACACACACACATACACATATATATATTTCTAACTATTTGGTGGGTAACAGAATGTGAAAACATTTTTACTTATTGTTTTTTTCTCACAAAATTTTGAATTCTAAAATTGGTATTTTTACTTACAGTGTGAGGGTTGAGTATACTGTTTTGTGAAGGTTCTGCCTAGTGTGGCATGAAATAATTTATTCTTATATACGTTAAAGTACTGTGTTCCCAGAGATCCTATGGGATCCCACAGAATGCTTTGAGTCTTTGTGTGGTTAGTAGACATGATGGCCACGTCTTCCGTGAGTCTTCGGTGGTTAGCAGACATGGGCCACATCTTCCGTGAGTCTTTGTGTGGTTAGTAGACATGATGGCCATGTCTTCTGTGAGTCTTTGTGTGGTTAGTAGACATGATGGCCACATCTTCCGTGAGTCTTTGTGTGGTTAGTAGACATGATGGCCATGTCTTCCGTGAGTCTTTGTGTGGTTAGTAGACATGGGCCACATCTTCTGTGAGTCTTTGTGTGGTTAGTAGACATGGGCCACATCTTCCGTGAGTCTTCGTGTGGTTAGTAGACATGATGGCCACATCTTCCGTGAGTCTTTGTGTGGTTAGTAGACATGATGGCTATGTCTTCCAAGCTAGCACTCAGAAATTCTGGTTCTGACTCTTACATATTTAGAGGTTAGTATTATAAAAGTCCAGATCTCTCCTTTTAGTATGTCTTTAGTCTTTAGCTTTTTTGGTAAAAATATGCTCTATGACTGGTTTACTACAGAGCCACGGTCACTTCCTTATCAGTAGACATTTAGTCAAAATAACTTCATAAATAAATATGTGACCTCATATTGTAGAGTTAATTGATGTCAGTTTCTTAATAACTTCCACACTTTTTTTTAAAAAAAGTTTTTACAGGATATTTTATAACTTAAAAATGGATTTCAGAAAAGGCCATTCAACATTCATTGGAAAGAACCTGGCAGGATGTTCCGGCGGAGGCCCTGGAGGGCTGGGCCGGCCGTCTGCACCTGTCTCCCCAGGGCGCCTCAGCCGTGGAGCCTGCGGTCTCTCTCCTGGTGAGACAGCACATGAGAATGGAGGGATGGTTTGGTTTTCGGTTTTTCTCTAAAGCAGGAACATACCGCCTCGATTACTGCTAGCTTGTCATTGTCACCTCATTGCAGCCTTCTGTCCTCCCTGAACGACACCCCACTGGGCCCCGGCACTTGCCTGCTCTTCCGTGAACTTGTCTGAATCTTTTTTAAATGGGGCAGGGTGTCTGGGCTTTGCCGCGGTCAGTGAGAGGCTCCCTCCTTGGGCACGGGAAGTTGCCAGTCATGCTTTGTCGAGGTCGCGTGGCTGCAGTGTCTCCCCGTTTCCCACCCCTGAGTACCGACCAGAGGGAGAGCAGCTCTGGGTTGACAGACCTTTCTCATCATGCACTAGGTGCCTTCTTACGTCATTATCAAGTCCTGAGAGGAGACTCGAGTGTTTGAATTCAACCAGAGATTCTATTTTGTTTTTATTTATTATTTTTGTTTAGTTCTTGGTATAATAGACTTTGCTTTCTCTAATTCGGGTTGAGTGAGACAGGTTTTCCTGTAAATAGGTCATTTTGTGAAGAAGCCAATGTGAAGATTCCCACAGTCAGCAGTAGCGGTTGGATATTTATAAGCATGAAGTGAAAAGCTTAGCACGGTCCCACTCGGCTTCGTCACCCTGGACGTCCCTTAGGCCTCTCATGTGCTGTGGTGTCCTCGTTGCAGTGAGCGGCAGCTCCCAAGGATGAGCCCACCAGGCCTGGTACAGAGCGTAGCAAGAGCATCCCCCTGTCCCCTGAACGCGGATACGTGCTCGTGCTGTAGAGCTGCGTCTTTTCTCCGTCACCTCCTCATCCGCCGGGACCGCAGAGAGCAGGCAGGTGCCACCGTCATGTCCAAGGCCCCGAGGAAAGCCACCCTGGCCCCCCAGGGAAGCAGGGCCCACCATTGCTCTCGGGGAAGCGTTGGAGGCTTAACAAGTGCCCACTTGCTCCCCAGCGCTCGGGGTGAGCGAGGGCCTGAGCAGAGCCAGCAGGCCCCGTCCTCGCCCAGGGCCCACTCGGAAGAGAGTGAGCACCCTCTGCTTCCACGCCAGCGTCACTAGGAACAGGGAGGGCTTCATTTCCAACTATGCTTTCGCCTCCGGCAGAAGCGTTCCACGCCTCCACCCGGGTGGAGGGCATGTGGAATTCCTGTTTCATGCATTCACGGTTCATATAGCGTCAAGATGTTCTGCTGGGGAATTAAATTATGTACACTGTACCATGCAGACGTCGGCCTGCAGGGGTAAGGTGGGAGCGCAGAACATTTCGAAATGTTTCAAGTGGTTGTAATGAGTAAAGCTTTTATGAGTAGCTTTTCTGATAATCACGCAGAAGGGTAAGCGTCTATCTTCCTCCCATATTTTTTAGTTTTGAAAAACCTAAGTACAGGTCCCTCCCCTTTTCATGGTTCATTGCCCAGTCATGATGCGCTGTGGCACAGTCACCCGGAGCAGGCCAGTGTGCGGAGCCTGGCTCTGCCGCTGCCTGGGACGGTGTGGGCTGTTCTGCACGTCCCTGGGCACTAAGACGAGAGTGGACTGGAAGCAGCCAGAGGGCTGAGAATGACATGAGCTCACGTGCACAGCCCTTCGCATGTCGCCAAGCTAGAGGAAGCGTGACATGAACACTGGCTCTCAGTCCGGGAGCGTGGGTGACACCCCTGTCCTACGTCGTCCTACCGCAGAACTTTGAGCTGAGAGCTGAGAGCCGTGTCCCCTCCGTAGGTAACTGCTGCACGGCCTGTGAGCCCCCGCTCGTGTCCCCTCTGTAGGTAACAGCTGCACGGCCTGTGAACCCCCGCTCGTGCCTCCTCCGTAGGTAACGGCTGCACGGCCTGTGAGCCCCTGTGCAGTGGTGGCCATCGTTCCCGTGAGGAGCAAGACCACCTGCTTTTTCTGGAAAGATGGCGTGCACTGGCCCCCCGTCCGTTCGGTCTTACGCAGCATACTCCGGGAGCAAACGATAAAGCAGTGTCGTGTCCTGGGCACGAGATGTGGCACTGTCCGAGTTCCCCTTCCTGACTCTGTTCCTGGGAAGACTTGACGGATAATCATGGGACGTCTCAAGACAGTTTTTCGCAGAGCTCTTTTAATATTTGCCTTTCTCCTTCCGACTGTATTGTGTCTCCCTCACCCCACTTTTATTCCTGGCTTAATTTCTCAATATGTTAGACTAGAAAAACCAGTGGAGTGAGGGAGACCCAATACAGTAGATCCGCCTCCACTCGGAAAGGACAAACGGCTAGGTGACTCGCGCCGTGCGCAGTGTGTCCTCTGCAAAGCTTGGCCTCGGTTCGTCTCCCCACCGGCGCAGCCTTGGCATTTAGGTCAGGAGCCTGAGGCCGGGCAGGGTCTGAGACGGTGACTAACTCCTCGCGCCTCTCCCTGCGATGGTTTCCTCGACTTTAAACACACAAAGGCTGACTTTTACAGGTGGCAGACACATTTACTTCTTAGGGTAAGTAGTGCTCATTAGCCTAGTAGAGGCTGGCCTTCTAAATCTGCCAGCCGGGGGCTCCTTCCTCAGAAACACGACACCGCGCTGTAGAAATAGCAGAGGGAAAGGTGCCCGCAGATGGGACGGGAGGAAATTCCTGGAAGAGGGAGGGAAAAGAAGAACTAGTGCTTCAACAATAGCGTTGTATTGTTGCTCATAATTATTTCCTGCACAATGTCCATCTGAGAAGCCGAGGAATTTAAGAGCCCAGTTAGGAAACTCCGCAAGCAGAAATCAGTTTTTAGCAGCCACAATGAAACCTCCACTAGTGTGTCAAATGTGCTTTCATGATGAGATCCCGGTAAGAAAAGCTATCAGGATGGTATGCTTCCTGGATTTTAAATAAACCTACGACTGCAGTTCATTTTCAACAGAGCCACCAAAATGTGTATACTCAGATTTGATCCTGAAGCAAAACAAACGTTTGGGGGCAAACTCTACTTTCTCATTCTCTTCTTT